TAGAAGCTTGAAGATGTTTAAGGTAAATTTAAAAAAATGATGATCTGTACACGCAAAAATAACTTGGAATAAACTGATAATCAGTATTGTACAGATAAAAGCAGGTATAGTATAAATTCAATTAAGAAATTTTCAATTTGGGACAGTTTTTTGATTGGTTACCCCCCAAAGACGCACGGCATTATGGGGATGCGAAAGTAGAGAATAAGAGAATCAACTCCCAAGAGCTAGTGGCATCACATATATGGTCTGAAATGTGCACAACAAACCACGAAGCTAAAGAGGTCTATTTTCCTTCAATTTGTCTCAGTCGTAAGTTTGTTCCTGCAACGAAATATTATAACACCACTCCCGCAAAGGGTTTTACTCTACAATGAGGCAAAATAGAATAACAATTCACAAAGTCTAATGGTTGTGACACCTTGTTTGGGTTAGGACGGGTCTATGTCCGAGAAGTCACTCAATCTCCACTACCTACCGTCCTATATAGGCAGTGGTTACCAGATGACTACCATCGACTCATGGACCATGAGACTTGTGAATTGTTATGCATTTGTTTGACTCAGTTTTGTTAGACAGACATGCTCCGTGGCCCTTGGGGCAAGTCTGCGTGACTCGCTTGAGCCAAACAAATGCACTCTATAATAAGTATGGTTACATATTTATATGAGTGTCCAGAGCCACTGAAAACTAATGTGGGATATGAAAAACCATGTTCCAACAAAGTGTAAACCATTTTTATTTCCAAAGTTATCCTTCTGTGATAAATATTTCATATCTTAATAAATTCACGAGACACACACAAAAAATGACCTCTTACAGCTGTAAAAGAAACCATGTGCTTATATTTATTTCTATACCATTGTATTACGTCAGAGACATGCGCCTTGATTTTATAACAGCACGTCATGAGATTAGTCAAAAAACAAGCTTTGAGTAAGTTTTTAGAAACAACATATAATGCATCATAGTTACCAATACCATTGTCGATGAATTGCGTCCCGCAAAGTTCAATGTCTCGCTTGCCAACCAGCATTTTAACGACCGTCAATCGGCCGAAAAACTGAAATTTAAAAACTATCTTTAGGGAGATTTTAGACTGAATTAAAGATTTTAACCCTCTAATCCTGTAAAATATTCTTAAAGATTGAAATTCAGGCTAAAATATCACTCAATATATTGTTTTTTATTTCAGTTCTTTGATTGTCTCGGGTCGCACTTAACAGATGGTAGTCATTTAGATCCATTAATGGTATCATATAACAAATTTCACCATTGAAGTTTTAAAAACAACGCACACACACGCACAGCATTTTCCTTTAAGGATAAAGTCCGCCAACACGAACTTCCTAAATCTACATCACAAGACTTTAGAAATTTACGAAGATCGAAAAAGCAAAAATATCTCCTTACCCTCCCGTCCCCTATCTTTTTTACCGTTTATATGTACTACCGCTGTTTTGTTTGTTTACTTTTCATTTTCCAAGATGGCGGAACAAGAAGAAATAAGTGTTTATCAGTTAGAGAATTCTACAGAACATTGTGTTGCTTTATCATTATTTGTGGACATAACGAATAGCCCTGAGATACGAAAACTTGTTATGGAAGGAAGGATTGAAGCTACTTTCCTAAAACCATCTATGGTGAGTGTAATTTTGAGAGTGATTTCAATATCTTATTTTCCGTACTTGCAACTCTCTGGATCCTCATATAAATATGTAATCATTATATAATAGTAGGTGTATTTGTTTGGCCTATAGTCACACTGACTTACTGCGGGGATCCACGGAGTCTGTCTCTCTGATCATGGGTCAAGCAAATGCGAGGAGTCTCGGTCATGTGGTTGGGAGTTAGCCAAGGTAGTCTTCTGATAACCACTGCAATGTATGGAGTGGCAAGCAGAGGATGTTGGTTGACTTCTTGGATATGGATCCACTCTATCTATGTTTAATTAACATAGAGTCCCACAGCCATGTGATCGTGCAGGCTCCAGTGTTGGGTTTATGGATTAATGTAAGGTTTGATGAGAGATTTTGTGGATTAATTGGAGTTATGGTAAGGCATTTGATATAAGCGCGGAAGTTGCTTTTTAGTGTCAAAATAGTCATTCTATGTTTATTTTTTTATTATTCTAAAGCTTGTTTTACATATGATTGCTACAAATATTTGTACAATGTCAGTAAATAAAACACTTCTGTTGGCTGGGATATCAGCTGATAATGCCTGAGAATGAGAAATGATCTGAAAAAAGAACAGTAAGTTGGCCAAGAAGTGGAGCTTCTAGGGCATATGTATGTAACTGATCTAAGGTGGATAACTACTTTGGCAAATAATAAACAGAAAATTGAAATTGAAACTTTCTTAACCTGAAATTTAATGCTGATTTCAAAAATGTTTTTGAGATAATCACTCCGGAATGACATGCGTTTGTACAATTTTGTAAGAAAAATAGCAAAAATCAAGGTCTGTACAAAAAAATCATAAAACCGAAACTAAGGAAGAAATATGAGTAATTTTCTCCGAACTCGTAACTTACACTATATTTATAAAATAAGGATAAAAGTTGTTTTAATGAACTATTATAGACATTGGAAAAACTTTTTTGGGTTCAGGTTCTACGGTGTGCAAGTTATCGTAAAAATTGAGCACAAAACAAACAGAATGATTTTTTACATTGTTCTAATAAACAGAATTGTCTTAAAATTTGAAAAATGATGGATTATTACCTGTTGTTCTGGAAAATAAGTCCTGTGCAAAATTTGAGGGTTTTGCCCTCTTGAAGTTCAAAATGTGTATGGTTCTTCAATAAATTCGTGAAGATTATTCCGCATTTTTCGAGCGCGCACATTGTGGGCTTAAATCGAATGTTGCAAAGTAGTCCATCCATCCATCCATTCATCCAATGTCATCTCATCTCATCTATCTTTCTGTATTGACAGATATCTAGACTTAGATCAGCCCAGGAGGTTGTTCTGGGTTCTATCTGTGAGAAAGCCACACCCTGACTTCGATCAGTTCAGAGGTTGTTTAGGGGTTCAAAGAATAATTATGAACTTTTCTTTGCCCAGTTAATACTGTAAGTGACAGGGCAGGGCACCAGAAATGAAAAGTTTCAGCTCATAAAAAATACAAATGTCTTTTTCTTTTTTTTTTTTGTCCTTTAGATAGCAGATCCCTTTCAAGTTGTCCTAGCTGCACATAAGGCTCTACACTTATCAAAACTACAAAAAACTAAAACTAAAACTCTTCATTCAGAAATTATTTTCAACCTTTCACCAACAAATAATGTAAGTGAATAGTAATATTGCCATATATTATGTAGATTTCCTTTGATAAGCTTGATATAATAAATATATGTTTACTCATTTCAGACCAAATGTTATTCTCTTGAGTATTATTTCTTTGCTTTCTGATAACACTTGAGAAGATACTTATTTAATTCATGTAAATGTATTTCAAACAAATTTTTTAAATGAATTGCAGTCTAAAATGGGAAGAAATGTCATTCCCAAATTTTGTTTTTCTTCTGTTAATGAAGTTTTATATTGCCTTGCACAATCAATACAAATGCAAATGTCGGCTCACTTTTTTGTTATCATTAATCTTGTAGAGATATAATATTTTTATTTTGAATTGAAATTCCACTTACGGACCAAATTTTAATATTAGTTTTTCATTAATTTCTTCTTTAAATTCTAGATAACAGATTCTTTTAAAAAGTTTGGTTTATCAGAAAATGACACAACTCTTCTTCTAGCTGTAATAACGACAGGAGATGGTGTTGAAAAGGTGAGGAACTCTTTTAGAATTGTAAAGGATTGTTAGTTTGGAACATGTACCACCACCCTGTTGGCTCTGCTGATTGCCCATCATACTTTCTTACAGAAGATAGGGGGCTCAATATCCAGCTATACCAAACACTCAGGGGTCTAAAGGAGAAGGTGCTGCAGCAGGCTTAGATTGTAGTGTGATATCCACAAATGGTTAGACCTTCATTTGACTCTTTGATGACCACATAAAATACCCGGGGGTACTCTTGCCAGTTTAGGGTAGGGATGTGCCGCTGAGCCCTCTGAACCCAGACCCCGTTCCAGAGTAAAATCACTGAAATTCATACCCTGTTCCAGAGCAAGATTGCTAAAAAACCATATCCCAGTTCCTGTATTGTGAAAATATACCCTGTCCCAGAGCGAGTGCGATTTTATACACCCTGTTCCAGAGTAAAATTGCTAAAATACATACCCTGTTCGGCAGCACGTACCCGTATAGTGAATATAGGGGAGCACTCCCCCCTCACGATAAAATAGTGGTTGAATCTCTCCACACTTACCTTGCATCTGAGGTACATAAGAAGAAGCTAACTAAGGACATAAAGTAACTGAATGAAATGAGGGGTTTCTCAAGACTGAGGCAGTTATGAAAGTTTTGGTTTTTATTGTCAACTTTTGTCTATCTTCCAGATGAGAGCCATCAGTCAGCATGTTAAGGGAAGACAAGTTCCTATATCAAATTTAAAGACTTTGGCCGATCAACAAGCAATTAAAAAGGTGAGAAATACATGGTGGGTGGTAAAAGTGAAAAGTAACTAATAGCATCAGTACCATCAGTGTCCCAGTTACCATTTGATGACCATTTGGCACCTGTTTTTTTGGCCCCTTTTTGGCCATTTCCTGGTCAACGTGTAAACAGTTTGTTGAATAACTGTTTCGATAACTTGTTATTAAACAAAGACTGTCAAGCATTTGTCAGCAATGCCATCTTCTATTCTTCTTTAGAACAATGTGTTGTGTTATTCCCTTGAGTATTATTGTTTTACAAGTCATGCTTGTGAAGATATAGTAATATGATATGATTCAAGCAATCTTATTTCAATTAGGAAAATGACGCATGTTGTTAACAAATTATAGTATGGGTTATAGTCCATCTTCCCCTTTTGTCAATGGCTTTTTGGTGTTTGGAAATATGGCTCTTTTTCATACCAAAATCTCCAGTTACTGCCAATATATTTTATTATGCAGCAGGCACAATTATTCCTTTGATAGTGAAAACCTTTGTGTATGCCCTCATTAACTGCAATCAGATTTTGAGTAGTCCCTTTTCTCATTCAGTAATACTGTTGTGTTTTATGACTTAAGACTCATCGGCACAGGCTTAGCCTCACATAAGAGTAAAATCTTTACAAAAGTCAGCTGTAATGTAAAGAAGGTACAGCTTGTACAATACCAATGTTTTGAAATCCCACCGACTTTTAATGGTATTATCTGTTAATAGCTGACTTATGAACAAGACTAAACCTTTGCAAATGAGTCTGTGGTCTTCAAAAACAGTGATATGCATTGAATACGAAACTGGTTTATTTGAGGCTGTGCAGGAAAAGTCTACTGTTCCAGTTAACATGGCTGCCCATTGATCTCTTTGTTTTTCATAGGTTTACAAAATACAGGACTGTGAGTTGAAAGTCAGTTCCCTAACAGAATCAGTTATTTGTAGAATGGCTACTAAAGATGTTTTATAGTCAACTTGTAGTACTCCAGTATCATTAAGGTATGCAACTTTATGATGAGTTTATCCAAAGGAGCACGCTAGACCAGCTCATTTTTACAAGTTTCCAGCTGTCATTTGTCTTTCGACACCATCTTGAATGGTTTTCCCCATTCATGTATGGAAGGCACGGGACACAAGCGCATTTTCTGTGACGTCTGCTTAATCGATATACTTGGCTTTTGTAGTTATTCTTGTAGAATTTCCACACGATAGAAAACGACAATATAGACCTTTTCCAAATTTGTATGATACCACTGTGTTCCTTGATTACAGACTTATTTACTCAAGATTAGCTTGGTCATTTCAGAGTCAAACTATTCCTAACAGTATCAAAGTAAAGATTGCACAACTTCAAGGATACGAAAACTTTAAAATTCCACTAATCTTCACTGGAGTACATCAGGGCCGTAACCAGAACTTTTACAGGGAGGGTGCACATCAAAAAAAATCGGACCATTGATCATTTTTTTTAAGAAAGCAGAAGCAAAAAAAAAAAAGGTGACCAAAAGAAAGTAGAACCAAAAAATAAAAAATAAAAAAAAATAAAAAAAGGTAACCAAAAGAAAGCAGAACCAAAAAAAAAAAAAGGAGATGGATGAGCGGACCTTATGCTTTTATGGGGGGTGCACATGCACCCTGTGCTCCCCCCCCCCCAGTTACGGCCCTGTACATGAATGACTCAAAATCAAGGTTAACCCTGAGCAACAGATAATATTGAAACTCCAGTATCATGAAGACAATACTTTATTTAATCTTCATAATTTCTTGAACATCTTGATCTAAGAGAATATATCTGTCATAGAAGTTTGTTTACTAAATTCTATTATTCCTGAGTTCTTTCATATAAAGAAATCATCCATAAAAAACCTCTTCATATCTGTTCTATTTTGTACGTTTTTTCCTGATATATTTCCATAGTAAATGATCATAAACTATTAACTATACATCTTGTTCTCAGTAAGACAACAATACTTTACATCAACAAAATATTTTGATGATAACCAGTCTATATCACAATTCTGAACTCTCGTAATGATACTTTGTATCTTTGTTGTGCACAAATTGTCAGATATAGATTAATAATGGGAGGGCCATTGTTTTGGGGGGAGGGGGGTGGTGCTAATTTTGACTTTAGGGTAAGGCTGAGAACACTTATGGAACCATAATTGAACAGACCTTTTGCGGAATGCAGCTCAATTTGGAGGACATAAGAATAGGTTTCCAATTCTCCCAAGATTTTTTGTTTGTTTTGTACTCCAAATTGAGCTGCTTTGAGGTCACATGCAAAGGATTGTCAAAGTAGTGTGGATCCACGGGGCATGGAGAGGTCAGGATAGGTGCGCATCTCACAAGGAATTGGTGGGGGAGGGGGGAGGATTAAGACAAGCCATAATTTGCAACAACCCTACCTCTCTAAACCTAATAATTCCCATTCCCTAACCATGATTATATAGGTACATTTATTGTTTCTTCTCACAGCGTTCCCCACACACGTCCATGCCAATTATTTCATTGTCCTTGACTTTAAGCAATGGGCGCTGGATGCCATGAAGAGGATCCCTTCCCTTGGCTCCATGTAACAATAGTTCTGCTGGTTTGGAGTCATCTGATATTATACTAGCTGAATATTTGAAATCTTTCTTATTGTCATCCACAGGACATCGATGGCAAATTAGGAATTCCTTATAACCTGGAAATAAAAACACGAAAATGCTGGCACCAAGTCTAAAAGTATTGTAACTTCGAGATTGGATCGTGAGAGCTGCAAAAGAGGTAGTTATAGAAAGATTGTTGAAGATAACAATGACTTTGACAAAGGAATTTGATAGCATATACCTTATGACAAAGTGAGGACGAAGCTGGTGGAGACTTTTTCTTGTGAAATAATTCGAGAAATTTATGGTTTGGAATTGTTTGGAAAAACTAATTTCTATCTTGAACATAAAATATAAGAATCTAAAAATGGGAAAGTATAATGTAGGAAAACTATTGCAGTACTTAGAAGAAGTGCGTGTCATAAGTTATGTTATACATGCGTGAGAGAAGAACTTCTTAGTTTTGTAGTTATTATCTCTCTCTCTCTCCTAGTCTTCCTACATTTCTTTTCTCTTCTCGCAGTAAAAAATTTCTCAAACTGCGAGGGAGTATTCTGCAATAGGTTATCTTATGACCCCTCGAAATCACAGGATTAGTTAACATTCCCAAGGTATTATATATATTTATGGAAAAAACCTGCTTCATGATATCATGAAACAAAACTCACCTTCCGAGGTTGGATCTATTGTCGCGTCTACAGCTTGCCATTCGCTCGACAAATTATCAATCATAAAAGCCATGTTTTTTCTCCAAAGATACGAAAACCTGCACAAAAAAGAGCTACCTTTTAGCAACTTATTACTGTATCAAAAATGCTCAGTGTACGTTTAGGAAATAACCTCCAATAAGTCTTTCGCATCTAAAAGACCAAGTTTTAGTATAAGCTTTGATGTCAGACAAAAGACTATTCAGAAGCACATGTGAGGAGCTAGAATGTTTGACTTTATTTATAAAGGAATCAACGACAATAAAGACAAAACAAATAAAGTGCCAACCCTCAATGAAACGTATTCAAAGTACTTATAACTGTCGCAAGTTGTTAACTTAATGGCAAAGACGCTATTTTTATTAGTTTATAATTCGTGTGCTGTGATGCATCTGGGAGCGAAGTTCAAGTTTTAAGAGTTTTTTTAAGAGGCTGGTCGAGCTACATGTAGGACAGGATTTCTCATGTCACAGTCGCATGAAAAACAGCATGGGTTCTTTTTTTTTTTATTTAGTCTTTACAGCGCTTCAAGTATGCTTTACTCCCTCATTAAAGATAGCACGTTTAATTGAAAGCAAGCTTCAAAATAAAGAATGTCTTCCACGTGTTTTGATACAAAGAAGGCTCATCTTTTGTCTTGTCAGGAATTTTATGTTTTCAATCCAAGGACTCTAGGCATTACTAAGATGTTTCGGGATTTTGGCGTTTTTAAAATTTAGTACGACTTTGTCATCGAGAGGTCGTCCACAGTTCTCTTCCTCGTGTTTCGAGTTAGTTTTGTATTTTCGCTATTACATTGAATAAGGTGTTAGAAAGGACTTAAAAAGGTGTTTGTTATCAAATTAATCTTGGTAAAATCTGTCATATCTCAGCAGTGTTTTCAATGATCTTGAATACTCCTTTCTTTCAGTAAATCCGTCCTTAACTCGATATGCTTATCACCTAATTTAATTGAGCTGTGCTATAAATATCCATTACAAATCGCATAACTTCTGTTTCAAATGTAGAATACGATACGAAATGATATAGCGGAGTTTAAAACAACTCGAAATAACGAAAATAAACCCTACGGATGAATATACAAGTTACAACTAGAACCTCTCGCTGTTTTTAAGTTTTAAAAACAGTTTTTGTATTGTTTGATTTGTACTTTGACTAAGTAAATGAACAATACAGTTCAAAGCTACTCGCCGTAAGTGGCCAACAAACAACGTCATTTGGACAAAAAATATTATGTGTTGATGCTAGCGTTCAAAATGGCCAGTTTTAGAGGCAGACAAGAGTTTGAAACCTCTATCTTTGCTTTAAGTTAAATCCTTAAATAAGAAAGGTACGATCTTTATGTACACTAGTAAATAAACAATTAAACAAATGGCTCGCTTGAAAATACAAAAGGAATGCATTAAATTATTGTATGGAAAGCCATTTTAATGTAATATATATATACTGTTTCAATTTCTGGTATTTTTTGCGATTCGAATATTCGTAAATTTTTAAACAACCGGAAGAGAAAATTACATTAAAACTGGGAAATTTGAATAAATATCTTAGAGGAAGGATCCGGACAAGAGCTGTTTCGGTTTAGTTGTGTTGTCATGTGTTATGGTATAAGTGGTTTTGGCCATACATTTACGCGAATTTTCTGAGTCTACTTCAGTGATGTTTGGATGTTACAGGAAGACAAGACGAGAGGTGTATGAAATACGTAATTTTATATGCTTTATTACTTTGAAATCCAAAGATATTTTAACCATGATTTCTTTCCAAATTTTTACTTCAGTGAGCGATATATCTAGGTTAGAGGGCGAAAAAATGAAGAGAAAATGAAATAGAAATCAGAAAATATCGATCATACCCACCTGATCGGCAGTAGAAATTGAAATAAAGTCCCTTATCAGCCACCGCCTTCGCATCGACCACAAGTACGAAAACATTAAACCAGTGAAATATAGAATATCAATTGCAAGGTACCAAGATCGACGGTGATTGGTCTGTCGATTTGCACCTATAATTATTCATCGTTATAGACTATAAGCGCATAAGCTTGAACAATATCATAGCGCAACCGAGGGGGTATGGCGATATGGTATAGTTATAAGGCATCATATTTTTGATTTAGAGAGAAAAAGGTATATAGATGTAAAAAATATATAAAATATTACTATTATAACCCAGTTGACTCCCGCTCTCTATACCCTTCGTCTACACTACTATGACTAATAACAGAAACAACACGAGCCGCTTCAAAAACAGTCTCCAGTAATACAATAAGCCTTTTGTTCGTGTGTGGGCTGCCTGTGGTGAGTAGGATTTACTTTTCTTAGTCGCTCGTGTGTGGCGAATTTGACTATTCTGCATCATTGTGATGCAATCTCAAGTTATCAACTTCGAAATATCAGCCCTATTTATCTTGTTTTTTAAGTTTCTCTTGATTAATTTCAAGGAGTTTTCTCTCAAGATATCAAACATAAGTTTATTCACACAATTAGAGTTTGTTTTTGTCAAAAAAAAAAAAAAGATGACCAAAGATAGAGTCCAATTAAATAACGCCTTTTAAGTACTTTCATTGAGGTCAAAAGGGTTGAGACAAGTATGATAACAAAGTTACAATTCTTAAAAAGCGAAATGGTGCAACTTTACACGCCGTATTTACTACTGGGGTGAAGTTTCTCTGCTGTGCCATCCTACTGGGTCGAAAGGACTCAAGCTGTTAGTAAAGGTCTCCGTTACAGTAACATAACAGCTAGACTACTGACCATTAACATACTGAGAGTTTTTTTGTCATTCTTATACTCAAAATAACTCATCGCGAGGATGGTAACATTAGTCGTTGGGACATTATTTAAGGTAAACATTTCAAGCGCGATCTTTTTTCTTCTTTCTTTCTTTCTTTCTTTCTTTCTTTCTTCCTTTCTTTCTT